TCTCGGGTGAGTACTCCTCTCAGTGGCAGACAGCCATGGGCGCAGAGATGGCTTCCTGGAAGTCCACAGGCACCTACGTCGACGATGTTCCCCCACCTGGGGCGAACATCATCAGTGGCATGTGGATTTTCAGGGTGAAGGGGCCGCCGGGTTCTCCGCCTGCCTTCAAGGCACGTTACGTTGCTCGAGGCTTCAGTCAGCGTGAGGGAGTCGACTTCTTCCAGCCCCCACCCCAAAGATGACCACTCTTCGGGTGTTGCTACACGTTGCAGCTCAGCGTGACTACGAGCTGCACTCCCTCAACTTCTCGACAGCTTTCTTGCAGGGTAGCCTTCACGAGGCCATCTGGTTGCGCTGTCCACCTGGATTCACTAGGTCGTTTCCTGAGGGTATCCAGTGGAGCCTACGGCGGTCAGTGTATGGCCTGCATTAGGCACCTCGCGAGTGGCACGACACACTGAGGACGACACTTGTGGCTCTTGGGTTTGCTCCTTAGACTGCTGACCCGTCGCTGTTTCTACGCACCGACACTACCCTGCCGCTGCTCTACATTCTCGTGTACATCGACGACTTGGTTTTTGCTACTGCTGAAACGGAGGCGCTAGCCCTAGTGAAGGCGGAGCTGCAGAAGAGACACACCTGCGCAGCTATCTTGGCTTGCAGATCACCCGGGACAGAGCTCGGTGCACCATCACCCTGACTCAGTCACACATGGTGCACCAGGTCCTTCAGCGCTTCGGCTTCCAGTACTCTTCGCCACAGCCCACTCCTCTGTATACCGGTCACCCGCTCTCAGCTCCACCTTCGGACGAGTTCGTAGAGCCGAGTGGTCCGTACCCAGAGCTTGTGGGTTGCCTCATGTACCTGATGACGTGCACACGACCTGACCTCGTGTACCCTCTCTGCCTCCTGGCTCGCTACATGGCTCCTGGTAGACACTGAAAGGTGCACTTTGATGCTGCAAAGAGGGTACTGCGTTACTTGTGCAGTACATCAGGCATGGGGCTCGTGCTTGGAGGACGAGGTTCAGTGGTACTCACAGGACACTCCAACGCTTCTTGGGCCAACGACTAGGCGACTCAGCATTTGTCACAGGGTTACACCTTCAGTCTTGGCTCTGGTTCTGTCTCGTGGAGGTCCACTCGTTCTTCTTCTGTGCTTGGTTCCACCTGTGAGGCCGAGATCTACGCTGCAGCCATGGCTGCACAGGAGCTACGCTGGCTTACCTACCTGCTGACCGACTTGGGGGAGGGGCATCGTTCTTCTCTAGTTCTGTACATCGACAATGCGGAGAGTCACTCTACAACGTAGTGAGCTAGAGTACGGGGGTTGGCACGAACTACTAGGAGTGATCGTAGCTTTGCCTAGTTTCTTAGTGCTTGCACAATCACGGGAGAAATCGGCAAGAGTTTCCACTAGCAAAGTCGAAGTTACAGTATGGTTGAACAAGTAATGACAGAAATGACTACATCAGGCACCTAGCAACTCTGCAGCTAGCCTGGTCGACCGCCAGTACAGAATGGTCGACCGTCTGCCAGCGTTGCGTAGAGGAGCCGCGCCAGCACTGCAGAATGGAGACCTGCCAACACAGCAGGTCGACGGCGTGCCAACGCTGCAGCAGAGCGACTTTCCAGCGTGGCCCCGTAGAAGACAGCAGTGTGCACGCTCGCAGGTGCGCGCAGACGATTGGCCCGACTTGCACCGTTGTGCATCCGTCCGCTATTGTCTGCGCCTGACGAGCCACATCGACTTCGGGATACCAGCCCGAAGTCACCACGACCTCGACGACGTTCGCGTGCCTCCACAGAACTTGTCGTACAGGTTGGTCGACCTGGTCGACCACCAAGTGCTCCGGTCGACCACCAGTGCTTCTGGTCGACCACGAGGTCCCTCTGGTCGACCACTGGGTCCCTCTGGTTGACCATCAGGTGTCTCTAGTCGGCCACAGCTCCCGTCGAGCTACCCCCTGGTCGACGGACCCCTTCCGTCGACCAGAACTGTCAGCTGTTGTCGCCGAGCTCCCCTCGTCATCCGCTGCTCACTTGTCAGGTCGACGGACTCCTCGGTCGACCTCCCGGTCGAACTGCCCCCTCCTGGTCGACGGCCCACCCGTCGCCCAGACCAGTCAGTTGCAGCTGTCGAGCTCCTTGGTCGACAGCAAAACCAGCGGTTCCTTGCAGCTCGACGAAGCCCGTCGAACTGCTCTCCCACTGTGAATGGTCGGCTGCTTCATCTGTACATCCGACCAAGTCGTCGACGTTGCCCAAGCGAGGGCGGGGCCAACACTTCACTCCCGTTAACAGACAACAAGGCAATGCTTGCCTTGTGTCGCGAGCAGAGAATGGAGCACAGAACGAAGCACATTGTTCTTCGCTACTTCCTTGCACGTGAGCTGCAGTAACGTCGTCAGCTCTGCCTTTCCTACGTGGCCTCGCGGGCTAGCACTACTGATGTGTTCACCAAGGCCCTTGGGTCTGGTGATCATCAGCGAATCTGCACTGCTCTTGGGCTTGTGCCCCCTCTGCCTCACCTGCTGGTTGCTTGACTTGCTCTTGTTGTACACTGATATATATGTTTATTCCTGCTTGTTTACTCTTGCTAGGTTGTGATCAGTGTAATGCCTTGCTATTAGAACTCTGCATGTGAACTGGCCTTGTGGCCGCTTGCTTGTGCTCAGATTGTGTGGTGTCCTTGAGATCCACCCTGAGCTTTGCTTTGATTTGTTCTCTTGCTTGACTGGTCTTGTGACCGTTTGTTGTGTTTGCTATCCCCCACTTTGCCTATGGGGGTGTGTCAAATTACATTTGTATGTGTAGGCTGTAGTGGGGTAGCCTCTACTTTAGGTCAAACCTAGTACTTGTACTCATCCTTGCTTGCTAGTCAATCATTCTTGCACAATTGATTCTGATATTTTGCTTACTACAAGGAGACATTCTAATCACAGACTAGTCATTAGTGACTGCACATTATTTTCTACAACGCATTACACTAAGTATGCACAAACCTATTGGACATTTTGTTGGCAAACCATCGTACTAATTCAGACTCTACTGACATTCCCCGAATCGTCGCTTTCGTCCACGTGTTGTAGCACAACGCCACATGTGCCATTCCAGCTTGCACGAACGCAGCTACAGTGTTTTTGCTTCCAGTAATCCTCGCCAACTCGTCATACAAAACCGATGCCGCAACAAACAGTGCGTCCATCTCTCCCGCTGTACAGTAATTTGTCCTCCACATAACCCTGCTCCACTCCTTTCTCGCTATAATCCCTGTAGATGACCACGAAACTTCATGTAAGCATGCGTAAGCGTACGTAGAGTTTCGCGGTAACAGCCCCCCAAGAGTGCTCGCCGTAAAGTCGAAGAATGCATGGAACAGAAAGATGGGGGTAGTGACGTTTTGCAGTATGTATTGTGGAAAAAAACACTTCCAGTGATCAGTATCTGGTAAGGCTGAAGATTTTAAATGGGGAAAGGGGAAATCAGGGGGGAGAATTGGAGGGAGAAGTAGGATTAGTGGGGAAAATCAACGGCACAGGAACCAGGGAGAGCATAAGGGGCAGGCATTAGGGAGTATAGGGGAAGAGTGGGAGGAAAGAAGTGGTAAATAGCAGGATTGTGGGCGCCATAACAGCCATCCCTCAAAACCCACTCAACGCCACACGATTATGCACGAATATCCAACATCTCATCTCACCATCCATGCAATCAGTCCAGTTTGGCTTGTGAAAATCAACCAGCATCTGAGCTGAGGCACGCCATGGTAATTGTGTAACCGCCATGCACGAATATCCAACATCTCATCTCACCATCCATGCAATCAGTCCAGTTTGGCTTGTGAAAATCAACCAGCATCTGAGCTGAGGCACGCCACGTGTTCCCGCCCTCTCGGTCCTTGGAGTCTGAAAGGGAAAGGTGGAGGGGGGAGGGGAGGGGGAAGGGAGGGGTGGGAGGGGGAAGAGAACTAGGCTTACGAGGGGGATGGCTCTGTACCGAGGCACGCCACATGTTCCCGCCCTCTCGGTCCTTGGAGTCTGAAGGGAAAGGTGGAGTGGTGAATGGGGGGAGAGCACTAGGCGAACGGGGATCGATGCTGAAAACACACTGGCCAAAATACATGCGGAGAAAAAATATGTGATGCTCCAATGCTCTCGCAGACGGAGACTCTCCAAGGAAGCCTAACCAGTGAAGACTCACCAACAAAGAAGCCCGAGTCGGAGAGAGACACGACTGCTTGGCCGCCCGCTGAGCTGCTTGACTGCGGTGAGATGCGGGTGAGATGCAATGAAGTGAGTCCTCACCTCACCAGTGAAAACTTACCAACAAAGAATCCCGAGTCGGCGATGCATTTGGTTGGCGCCCAGGGGGGCTTTGAGATGGGGTGGGGCTGAGGAGCAGCCCAAGGCACTCACCAATGAAGAAGCCAGAGTCGGCGATGCATTTGGTTGGCGCCCAGGGGAAGGCGGCAGCGATGCGATCGCAGAGAGCCACGACTGCTTGGCCGCCCGCTGAGCTGCCCGACAGGAGAATCTGCGATGCCGATTTGATTCTCCGCTTGGATTTCAGATCTGATTTGGTTTTTGGGTGAGGGGTCATGCGAACGTAGGCGAGGCAGAGTAGTGGCACGATGTGGGGCAGCACTATCTTGTCATGGTCATGGTCATGGTCATGGTCATGGTCATGGTCATGGTCATGACTTTTGAGAATTACAGTAAAAAGGATTTTTTTTTTTTTTTTTTTTTTTTTTTCTCTCATATTGGATGGCAATCATCCTCTCTTACAGCACCTCAAGCTCTCTTGCCCAAGCTCATGCATTTCCGTAACCCACCTTGAATCACAGCTTGAAGGATATCCCAACCATCCAGATAAATCGCTGTGTCGCTATTGATTTCCAGTGCCCTGGTGTTAACGAGTAACCCAGTTGAACCAAGGCTACGGCGCGCAGCAACGCACGGCGCTGGTTTAAGACCAGTAGAGGAGGAATCCATTCACCTGTTATCACAACGCACCCTCTATCACCGCTTGAACGATGTTCCACCCGTCCAGATTAATCGCCGTGTCATTGTTTATTTCCAGCCGCCCTGCCGTGCCCGAGTAGCCGCCACCGTCGCAGTAGATGAGACGAACGAGGTTCCAGTTGTAGAAAGGCGGGTTGATGCTGCTGTTGCTGCTCAGAATGCCGTTGAAACCCGGGGAGGGGATGGTCTGAAGGCGGGAGTGGGAGCGAGGAGTGGAGGAGAAGAACAAACGGAAAGGAGGGCGGGTTGATGCAGCTGTTGCTGCTAAGAATGCCGTCCAAATTGGGGAAGAGGGTCGGTGGGTGGAGGGAAGTTGGAGACGGGAACAGGAAGAGAGGAGATCTGGCGGGTTAATGCTGCTGTTGCTGCCAGCAGTGCTGAGAATGCCGTCGAAATTGGGGGAGAGGGTCTACTTTTGGAAAGGCAGGTTGGAGGAAGGAGGAGCAGCATATCGCGTTTTTGGATTGGAGGGAGGAGGAGGAAAGAAGGTGCTGCTGCTTTGCGCCGTCTCGGGAGGGGTAGTTGGGGGTACAGAAGGGAGCTTTGGAGAGAACAAGGGGCTGTAAGAGAGAGAGAGCAGCATACCGCGTTGGTGGGGCCTTGAGGGAAGAATGTGGTGCTGCCTAATGCCGTCATGGGAGAGGTGGGGCTTTAACGGTGGAACGGAATCAAGAAAAAAGGGGGCTGTAAGGGAGAGAGCAGCATACCGCGTTGGTGTGATCATTGAAGTAAAACGTGCTGCTACCTGCGTGCCAGCGTACACTGGCTTGCTCCTGAACACGCACTCGCTAGCAGTGCGACACCACCCCCGTGCGCGGCAGACTTTTGAGTCGACTCAAAACTCAAAAGTCACTCGCTAGCAGTGCGACAACACCCCAGTGCGCGGCAGGCTGGGCCAAATCGAGAAAGCTTTTTGGGAGATCATACCGCGTTGGTGGGATCGTCGGGGTAGAATGTACTGCTGCCGAGTGCCGTCTTGCTCCTGCCGACGCACTCGTTGGCATTGCGGCACCACCCCCCGTGCGGCAGGTAGATGTGCCACATGCTCTTGCCGGCCCCCGTGCCCGCCCGGAAATAGTACCCTGGGGGACTGGGGTGCGAAGGTCGGGGGGGGCGAGAGAGGGGGAGGTGAGGGGGAGGGAATGTGGGGGGAGAGCCAAACACGTTACGACGTTGGAAAAGCCGCATTGGATTTTCCAGGTTTTCTGACTAATACGCTCCCAAGGGAAAGTTACCCTTCCTTTCGGGCTGTTTACTTGCCATGGACATAATCAATCAGAGGAGGTATTCGCCCAGCAGAACGAGCCGCGCTTATGTTCCGAACTCATCGAGTCGTCTTTTGAGTCGACTCAAAAGACAAATCGAGTCGATTTGCACTCTTCGGTTTTGAGTTGACCTGAAATGCAACCTCCCTTTGCTTCTTCCACCCTCCCCTCCGCAGCTTAGTACCTCCCGTCGAGGCATCGCGCGTCGAAGGAGTTATTCGCCAGCAGAACCAGCCGCGGCTTTCCCGGCGCCTCCGGCGGCGGCGCTGGCTGTTTCCCTGCGAGTAGCGACATCAGGTACTGCAGGAACACCGCGACGCCGCTGAAATTAATCTTCCATCCCGCCGGTTTATTGCTAGTAGGACCAATCCTTCCGCTAGTAGATGCCCGTTCAAAGGGTAGCCTAGCGTGCGTGCTGAACCCACGGGTGTACCCGGTAGTCGTTGTAGTGCGTGCTCGAATCCCGGTGAATGCACCCATTGTCGTTAGGCGTTGAGTACATAACTCTGAGTTGCTGCTGCCTACCGCTTCCTTTCTTAGCGAAGTTTGTCAGTATAAGCTACTAAGCCACTCGTTACCCAAGTCTATAAGGCAGAATGCCACTCTCGTAGCATCGTTAGAGAAGAAACATGTTTGAAATGCTCTGAGTCTCTGACTCAGCTTGTTTTGAATGTGAGCATTGGATAACGTGGGAGCGCTGGATGGAATTGGCTGCTCATCCTTTTCGGGGTAGCCCGGGAATCTTTTAAAGCAATGCGTTTCAGTGCGGTTCCTCACGATCTTACACGGTTCAGTGCGAGTACCTCCTCAAAACGTGAATTACCGTATTCAACCATCAGCAATGACACACGTGACGACTGCTGCAGTGTCAACACAGTCGAAATTCCAGCACATCAGATCTATTCAGGGCAACGTCAGGTTGTACACATCTCACGCGTTTACAGTTCTTGAATCGTTGTTCAGGACGGTCCAACACGTTGAAAAGCGGTTCTCGAAGTTTACCACTCTGAACCGTGTTGAAACGAAGTTACCCACGTCGCCCTCAGAACACGTGATGCAGATATGAAGGACGTGGGGGACACTAAATATACGGTTCCAAACGGTGCCACGCGCTTCAAAATGGTGTCGTTCTTTCACCGCGCTTAACCTGGAGGCAACCATCCTCACCATGAAGAGGGCAAAAAGGACATTCTCCTCTGGATAATCATCCCACTCAGCGGCGCTTCGGGATGCAAAATTCGAAACGAAATTGCGAATTCATCCAGCGACTCGGTATTTGCTGACGCGGATCGCGTTTTGGACATGGATGCGAGACAAGGAACTTCTAAAGCCTGAAACGTGTGTGTGTGAGAGCTAAGCATTCCCGCCTTTTCATATGGAGCATGAATTGCTCAAGCTCAGGGCGTATTTCGGGTTTGGGGCATGGGCACTGTTCCGGGCATGCGCCATTTGCGGATGCCCAGAACAACACGCAACACCAACCTCGAGGCATGCGCCCCATGCGACAGTTCGTTTGGGCGCCAAAATCCGCGCCAAACAAAATACTGGTAACACACGTCGCGGCCAATACGGCCGAGTCGTACATGTACCCCCACGAACAGCCATCAGCCGAGAGTCCGTCTGACCCCACCCCAGCCACCGTCAAAATTCCCGGCGGGAAAGGTCACATTCAGATCTGCGCGGCTCCACATTCCCAGCCAAACCCACCATCCCAACAGCGTCCTTCCCACACCAGGGTTGTTGCATCCCACAAAAACACAAGCGCAACAAACTTCCAGATCTGCATGACACAGTTTCAACCGACGAACACCAACAGCCTCATCACCCAGATCTGTCAAGCACAGAACGTGCAGCCATGCCGCCACGCCGTAGCACCCGTAGCAAGGGAAAGGAGACAGCATCCGACGATGAGCCTATGGCGGACCCTCCTTACGTCGTGTGGTTAAAGGAGCAGAAGAAACAGGGGAAGTCGCCCCCCTCCATCAAACGCATATCCAAGACCAAACGGGACTCTGCGGCCGCATCCACCAGCGGCGCGTCACGGCTTGCTTACGAGGATGGCGCCGATACCGACGTCAGCGATGACGACCTCGAGGAGATCGTCTCGGAATCGGAAAGCGATGACGACTCCGGTAACGACAAGGACACAACGGACGACGAGGAGGGAGAGTCCGACGGCGAAGGGAGTCGCGACGATCGCAGCACACGAGCGTCGAAGAAGGAGAAACGACCTAAACCGTCAAGCAACAAGAGGAAGTGGTCAGATGCGGAGCTGACGACCCTCGCCGCCGCCAAGTGGACTACGAAGGACGATCTCAAAGCGATGCAGGGCAAGCAGGGCAGCCAGTATTGGAGGAAGCTGCACGCCCACATCGTCGAGGGGGAACCGGGGTGGAACCGCGACGAGGGGCAGATGTCTAATGCGTGGAAACGCCTCGAGAAGCTTTACTTCAAAACGAAGCGGGGAGAATCGGCAAGCGGAGGCAAAGCCGTGAAGAAGAAGCCCTGGTGGGAGTACGTGTACAACTTGAAAAAACACTCGGCCAAAGCTAAGCCCCACGCCTTGGACGGCGGTGGCGCCGCCAGCGTTGACGTCGCGGCGTACGCAACTGTCCCCGGCTCCAACGACCGGGAGACTTTGGTTCCGCCGGCCCAGGCGCAACAGCGTGGAACACGCCGCCAAACACCAGACATCGGTCAGTGCTCTGATTTCATGTATGCGCCTACTGTTTAGGTTATATCTTACCAATGCGACAAATGTGCTAATACTCGAGCGGTTTAGTGTGTCTCTTATACAACACACTCATTTAAACGTCAAGTTTCCAATGTTCCAAAACATTGACAGACAAGGGAGGTACAGGCAAACAACGACATGAAAGGCCGCCTTATGACCGACACACCCTACTCCCACCCCTACAGAAACGGCAATCACCCCTCCACCGAAACGACGGCGGGTACAGGATACTGCGACAATGGCGGCAGCTAGGTTGGTGACCGACGCGATCAACTCCACCAACGTGAACGTGGTGCGCCAGCTCCAGGATTCAACGCAGGTCCTTGTCGCCGCGATGAACATGGCGGCGCTGCAGGCAGGCTTGCGCCTGCAGATGGTCGCCCAGCAAGCTCCTCAAGATGCGCCAGCCACCACCCCACCTCCGCCGCCGACAGCGGAGGAAGGAGACGCAACCATGGCCGGGTCAGATGAGGCGGGCGAGCAGCCAGCGCCTTAGCGCTGCCTCTTGGGCATTCGGCGACGCCTAAGGTAAGCCCTGTGGATATGCTTGCCGAAGTGGCGGCGCCTGACGCGCAGCTCGGTAAGAGTCGGGTTGTCCAGGCTCTCCCATTGGTAGCGATCCATGCCGCTTCTTGTCCACCAGCCATTTGGTAGCCCCGCCCAAATGAAGCGGCGGGGATTGAACGTCCTCATCCTTGGGGTGCTGACCACCTGCAGCATGTTGTGCAGGATGATGATGCAGGCGGTCCCGCCACACACGCGCCAGAGCTTGGTCTCGTGCCGGCGTGAGAAGAGCCTCCATCGACCCTTGAGTGCTCCGATCGTGCGCTCAACCACCATCCGCGTCGCCGATTGGACGTAGTTGAAGGTGTTCTCCCACTTCTTCATTAGGCGGCGGCGGGGAGCATGGAGGGGGGTTAGCATGTAGCTTTTCAGAGGATATGCCGCGTCCCCAACCAGCTGATAGGGGGCGATTTCGCCGCTCTCTAGCCTGCCATGTAGCTCAGAGGTAGAGAAAACACCTTGATCATGCATAGACCCGGGGTTGCCCACTGTGTAGTCCCAGATGATCCCTTTCGAGTCACAAGTGACCTGTAGCTGTACACTGTATACAGATTTGCGGTTGTAGTAGTCGCTGCGGTGAGCATCCAGACCGCGTATCTCGATTTGTGTGCCGTCGATTGCTCCAATGACGTTCGGCACGCCCTTGATGGCGCGGAAGTCCAGCGCCATCTCCTCACGCAACTCTTCAGAAGGGAATTGAACCCAGTCACGCTTGAACTTGCGGGGGAACCACACCAAAAAGCAGTCCACAATGCGATGAATGAGACCCTTGGGCAAACCGAACATGAAACTCATGTCGTGATATGTCATGGCACTTGCAAAGTACTTGATGGGAATCAGGCAACAGAGAGATAACGGGACGTTGTTGTACTCGACGAAACGGGACATGGGGTGCGCCATCTTCTCCGCGATGAGGTCGAGCACCTCCCGCGTGATCCGGAAGGTGTCCTCGAACTCCTCGTCAAACATAGCGCGAATTTCCTCCACCCACTCCGCCACACGTGCCTCTCGACGGCGCTGGCGGCTTTCGCGGCGCGCAGTCGCACGTCGCTGGCGCTCCTCATCCTCGGCTTGGGCCATCGGTAGGATAGTGGTTATCCACTCTAGTGCGGCGAGGGATACTACACGCTGCCAGGTGTTGAGCACGTACTCATGCCAGAGGTGCAATGCTACACATAGAATGAGTACCTGTGGGGTAAGCATGTTTTATGGCCACAGCGGCTTTGGCCGACTGGCTTCCTGGCGGCCCTTTAGAGATGGTTCAGTACGGTGTCTTGCCTGCATCCTTGCTGGCGGAGCTGGCGACACGGGCGTGGTGGTGGCTGTGCTTGTTAGCAGGGCGGTTTGTGTGTCTTTGCATGTAGTGTGCTGGTCTGGCTTCTGGATGTTGTGATTGTTACGAGGATTAAGTTGTTTTACAAGGGTGTGGTGTACACGCCACATTGACGGGCGTGCACATCGCGCCGAACGGCCGATTTACAGAGGTTGCTCTACATGGGGTCGCGCAGCTCTGTGATTGGTGCGCTCCACCTTTTGTTTGACGGTCGCATGCAATGTTGAGCATGACCCGAAGTTCGAGTCGCGCGCGCTTTGGTGCTTGGGTTTGGGTCATGCGGTTGTTGCGGATGCCCTGTACAGTGCCTGAACAGTGCTCATGCCCCAAACCCGAAATACGCCCTCAGACAAGTACAAAACAATACATTGATCATTGATGCTGATATGAAAGTTTCTTTGTTTTACACCCTGCAAATTGCTTTAATCCGTGGCCACAAGAAACAAAGATTCTCTCAACCTGAAAAGCCCAATCTGGTTCAAAACAAGAAAACAAAACCTCATGTAAACCCAACCACACTCCCATCCAATTGCCCTAAAGCAGAACAGTGGCAAACACCTTTTGGATGAGCGGCAAATCAACGTACTAGGATCCACAATCGATGTGCTTCCTCCTCCCCTCGCATCTAAACCTTTGAACAGTAGAGCGAGTGGGTTTCTAGCCCCATGGGGTCTAGAAGGCGCAAACAAGAGCAGCGGCGAGGACCAGCAGCGCAGTGAGGAGACGCGAGACACTGGCAACGGCACCTGGCATCCAGAGAGGGAAAAGGAGGGTGCGGGGAAGGATGGGAGAGTGAAGGGGTGAAGTGGTTGGGGGGAAGAGCAGCGCTGAGGACCAGCAGTGCGGTGAGGAGACGCGACACAGTGGCAGCGGCACCTGGCATCTGAGAGGGAAAAGGAGGGTGCGGGGATGGACAGGAGTGAAAGGGTGAAGTGGTTGGGGGCAAGAGCAGCGCAGTGAGGAGACGCGAGATAGTGGCAGCGGCACCTGGCATCCAAAGAGTGGGGAGCGAGGATGAGAGTGAAGGGGTGGAAAATCGGAAGGGGGATGAGAAATGGGAATGAGAGCGAGGATACATGGGGGTGAGAGGGAGGATACATGGGGGTGAGAGGGAGGAGAAATGGGAGTGAGAGGGAGGAGATATGAGAGTAAGGGGGAGGAGAAATGGGAGCGAGGGGGAGAAGAGTGAGGGGAAGGAGGAATGGGAGTGAGGGGGAGGAGGAACGGGAGTGAGGGGGAGGAGGAACGGGAGTGAGGGGGAGGAGGAACGGGAGTGAGGGGGAGGAGGAACGGGAGTGAGGGGGAGGAGGAACGGGAGTGAGAGGGAGGATGCACGAGAGTGAGAGGGATGAGAAATGGGAGTGAGAGGGAGGAGAAATGGGAGTGAGAGGGAGGATAAATGGGAGCGAGAAGGGGATGGGGGAACGGGAGAGACGGGGGACGAGTAATGAGAGTGGAAGGAGAGGGTGGGGGGGGGGAATTGGGATTGAGGGGGAGTGAGGGGGGTGGAGGAATGGAGAAAGGAGAGGAACGAATACTGGAAAGCTGGCCATACAGATGCATGCCTGCATGCATGATGCAGTGAGGCATCATGCGGGGAAAGGCATGACCCATATACAAATTCGTATGGGAAGAAACACACGCAAGAAAGGAGTTAAAGTTCAAGGCCTTTGCTGTGAGCCAGTTGCTCGCTAATTTGAATCCAAGCTCTTGTTTGCAAAAGACAAAAACGCGTACCAGGCAGGGAGGCCATGTCGCTCGGGAACACAACCGCGTTGACGTAAAAGAAATCGACCAACTTATCGTCAATCTTCGCGACAGCAGACGGGGTGCCAGCAGACGCGTCGGATGCGAGGAGGTTCGAGCCGGAAATGAAACCAGAGTTGGTACTATTGCACTTGAAGTTCAAATTGTTGCCGTTGAACACGGTCTTGAAGGTCGTGCCAGCTGCGTTGCACTGCCATGCGAACACGTTTAGGGTGGGGAGGGAGAGGGAGAGGCAAGGTCGCGCGCGAAAGCAATGAGCCACGTAGCACGCAAGGTATAGCGCACGGAATGCTGGTAATGGTAGCAGCCGAGTGCTATTAAAGACGGAAAGTCTTTAAAAGTCTTCGGTGGCAATAGGTGGAACTCCAAACGACCACACAAGCCAATCAGGGTCAAGCGCGCAACCCCACCCCGCATGATGCGGATCGAATGTTTCGCACGCGGCGGCCTACCTTGCCATTCAGGTCGGCGATCGTAACCGCAGCATCCGTCGCGTGAAATGACATCAGGTTGAACAGCGAGCTCCTCACGGCCTTGCTGACCGTCCCGCTGGTTACGAACGATTTGCAGTCCGCAGCCAGAGCGGAGAGGCCGGAGATCGGAGAGGTCGGAGAGACGATTTGACTCTTATCCTTGGGCGTCTTGAGCTTATCGCCGTTCATGACTGCGTCGAGCGCGTCGTACAGCCCGCCGCTGCTGCGCTTCTTCTTGTACCCCTCGAACGCGTCGCTCCACGCCTGGTTCGACGGGAGGAACATGGTCTTCACGGACAAGAATGGGCACGTCGTGTAGACGAGGTAGTTAAGAAGGTCGATAGACTTGGACACGTCAGCGGACTTAATGTTGGACGTAATTATCAGCTGAGATGACGCCGGCGGGAAAGACGGCGCGTCGGACGATGGCGGCGCCGTCGATGGTGCGCCGACCGCGGGTAAGGGCGCGGGTGCTGCTGCGCCTCCCGCGCTGGGGGCGGCCGCTGGTGCTGCTGTGGGCACGGCTTGCAGAACCCGACGGCTCGCGGCCGCCATTTCAGTCGAATCAGCGGGGATCGACGCGGCGGAGGCGGATTCGCCCCCCGCGAGCGCCGGATGGGCGGCGATTGCGAGGAGCAGAAGCGCGACGGAAGCCACGAGGGAAATGCGGAGAGTGACGAGGCGAGCCATTGGTAGCAGTACCGCGGGAAAGAATGTCACACCACGCGTGGATCGAAGAAGTGACACGAGACGTGTGGGATCCCGCTGGGGTACGAAGGAAAGGAGGTTACGTTCGAGAAATCAACTGACGTTTGATGCTCTTACGACTGTCCTTAAGTAATAAAGTAGTGGTCGGTACGTTGAGGCTCCTTCACCCGGGGTGAAGGCCATGGCGAGTTCAGTATAGCGAGGTGGTAAGGGGGGGCTATGCGCAATGCGCATCCTCTCCCGTCCTCGTGTTCCCCTGCGCTCGTCCGCGGTGAGAGCTGAGCGGCTCTGGTACGCATGCCTCCCTCTCGCGCATCTTCCTTTCCGTCCGCGGAAGCTGTGCGGGATCTGGTTCGCCTCTGGAAAGTTGCCTCCCGCGCATCTCCCTTTCCGCCCGACGGCGCCTCGTTCGTGGCGACCCCGTCACAAACGGTGTTTTGGGATAGGAGCTCACGATTACAGGGTCTTATCCCGTTTGGGATGCCTTGGCGGCACAGAGTCACCGACCCACGTCAGAGCGAGTCGCGTCACCTTCGGTGCGTACTACCACTAGCCTCGCTCCATGTCGGAAAACTAAGTGAAGGAAGCCCCGGGAATGGGAGTGCTTTTCGCTCTGCGCTCCAGACTAGGATCGTCTCTGCGCAACACGGATAGCTTGGCGCGACACAGCAGGGCGGAGTGCAATTCAGGGCAGCTGTGGTGGAAAAGACGGCTAGAAGACTCCAGGGTACGCGATAACAAGATGACTCAGTCATGCCGGTTAGCTCGGTAACTCAGACGATCGAGATAAAATATACAAGTCAAATCTGGTTGTGAGCCTAAAAATTCCCCCTTCAGTAAGAGCAGGTCAAGTTCTTAAAACTTGATGCGGAGGAGTTTACAAGCTTGAAATAACTGCACTTGCAATCAACATCATGATTCAGATTTCACAAAACAAAGCACCATATGCATGGTTCAATCGAGACAGCAAAGAACAAATGGAGACAAAGATTTGAATATTCCCATGCAGCATGCATCAACCCATTGCAGCAGATCCAACCATGCACTTCCTTTGAATTGGCCCAAAACACATGCAAAACAGTGCTGAAGACCTTCAAGATGGGCGGAACAATCAACGGCTAGGAATCAATTATTTCCTCCTCCTGTCACATGTAGACTCAAGGGCAGTAGAGCGAGGGGGTTTCTAGCCCCATGGGGTCTAGAGGGCGCAAACAAGAGCAACGGCGAGGACCAGCAGTGCAGTGAAGAGACGCGAGACAGTGGCAACAGCACCTGGCATCCGAGAGGGAGGGGGGTTGAGGACCGGGAGTGAGGGGGTGTATAAAGGGGAGAAATGAGGGGAACAAGGAGTAAGGAGTTGCAGCAGCACGGTGCATCCCTAGTAAGTGCGCTTGCCCCCTCCCCTGACGTGGACAGCTGTAACGTGTAGTGTAGGAAGCTCATGTCATGGGGGAAAGTGCCTGAACCGTTCTGGAGCAGCACGATGCACCTTTAGTAAGTGCGCTTGCCCTCCCCTGACGTGGGCAGCAGTAAAGAAATGGGGGTGAGGGGTTTGAGAAATTATGGTGAGGGAAGGAGAAAGGGGAGGAGAAATGGGAGTGAGGGGGGGGAGAAATGGGAGTGAGGGGGGGAGGGGGAGAAATGGGAGTGAGGGGGAGGAGAAATGGGAGTGAGGGGGAGGAGAAATGAGAGTGAGGGGGAGGATAAATGGGAGTGAGGGGGAGGAGAAATGGGAGTGAGGGGTAGGAGACATGGGAGTGAGGGGGAGGAGAAATGGGAGTGAGGGGTAGGAGACATGGGAGTGAGGGGGAGGAGAAATGGGATCGAGGGGGAGAAGAGATGGGATTGACGGGGGAGAGAAACAGGAATGGGGGGAGGCGAGATAGGAATGGGGGGAGGAGAATGGAATGAAGAAGAGGAACGACTAGTGAAGGTGGCAATGTGGATGTGTGGTTGGATGCATCATGCATGCAGAGAAGCGCTGTCCCATGATACGAAAGCGTATGCATAGAAGTATAGGAAAAGGTGTCAAGATACTAAGCAGAAAGATAGAACACGAAAGAGGGTTTGCACTAGCAGGCAGTTGAGTACATATAGGAAACCCTAAATTGGACTATACTCACTATAGAGTACCCCACTGCAAACTAGACAAATACAACATTCTGACACACCCCCATAGCCAAAGTGGGATGTAATCATCACAATAAGCATGCAGAGCAATAGCTCACAATGATAAGCAAAGCTAGAGGCTATCACAGAGGGCAAGTGAGGAGGAGGAGAGACTGTAGGGGCGAGAAGATGGGAGGCGGCGGCTGAGACTGTGCGGCTGGCTCAGTGGCTACTGAAGCAATGGCCCGGACTTCAGGAGTAATTGGCTCCACGGCTACGCCGAGCGGCTAGAGCAATTGACCCACGGGCGACTGGCAACTACCGGAGATTGTAGCCTCCGGACTACTAGCGCTGCGGACGACAAGATGGTTGTCTCCACTCAACCTCCCCCAGCTGTCCCACACCCCTTTCACACACCTCCTGCTGTACCCCTAGCACTGCTCACACGCCACCCCCTTAGTACCACTCCAACGACTCCCGCACATCCACCCCCCTTCAGCGGCAGCTGCAGTAGTGGGAGACGGAGGAGGAGGAGGAGTAGGGGACGGCGCACACACCCGTCACCCCCATACTCGCCACCCCCAAACCCTAACATGGGCAGCACAGGGCAGGAGCGGGTGCACGCACGGCAGGGCAGGTGCGCGCGGGCCTGGGGCAGGCTGAACGGGCCGCGCATGGGCCTGGTGCAGGCCGTACGGGCCGCGCGCGGGCTGTACAGGCCGCGTGCAGTCCTGGCGCAGGTCCTACGGGCCGCGCGCGGGGGCCTAGCGCAGGTCGTACAGGTCGCGCGCAAGCTGTATGGGCCGCCCGCGGTTCCCAGGGGCGCTTCGACGGGTGACGGGGGGCGACGCACAGGTCCCCGGGGGCGCTTCGACGGGTGACGGGGGGCGACGCGCAGGTCCCCGGGGGCGCTTCGATGGACGACGGGGGGGGGGGGGGGGGGGCGACGCGCTGGTCGACGGGGCAGGAAACCGCCGCGCGCCTCGAGGTGCACGGCGGGCAGAAAACCACCATGCGCCCCGAGCGCGTGGCGGGAAGAAAAAAACGTCGCGTGCCACGGGGCGCGCGTCAGACAGGACAGCAGCGGAAGCTAACGGTGGGCCCTCAGGCCAGGAGCGTAACCGCTCTGATAGCATGTCAAGATACTAAGCAGAAAGATAGAACACGAAAGAGGGTTTGCACTAGCAGGCAGTTGAGTACATATAGGAAACCCTAAATTGAGTTGTACTCGCTATAGAGTACCCCACTGCAGGCTAGACAAATACAACATTCTGATAAAAGGAACGTGTACTGGTAAAACACAAACTAGGTATAAATACCCATGTTGTAAGCCACTTGACTCCAAATCCAAACCCGTGCATGCATGGAAATCCTTAAAACACGTACCAGGCAGGGAGTCGAGGTCGCTGGGGAACACAAGATTGTTGACGTAAATGAAATCGCCCGCCCTATCGTCAATCTTCGCGACAGCAGACAGAGTCCCAGCAGCCGGGTTGGATGCGAGCGGGTCCGACCCGGAAAGGAGCCCGTTGCTGTTGCTGTCGCACTTGAAGTTCAAATTCTGGACGTTGAACAGGGTCTTGACGGTCGTGCCATCAGCGTTGCACTGCCAAGCCAACCAACGTGATTAGGGCGGGGAGGGAGAGGCAATGTTTTGAGTCGAATCAAAAGTTGTTGCTGTTGCACTTGTCAAATTATAATGTTATCTAGGCTTTAGTGGGGTAGCCCACATGGGGTACACATTTCTAGGGTTGCATATTTGTATCACTCTCATTCTCGCTCTAAGTTTCTCATGGTATCGAGCAGGTTCCCTCAAGGGAACTGTGCCTAGGGCCCACGACATCGAACTTATTTTTTCCTGCCCGGAGCGCGCCCCCCGAATCGCGCTCCCCTTTCTGCATTCGTCGAGCCGCCCTAGCGGCCTCCCTTGCGGCCCCGCCGCCCTCACTTGCGGCCCCGCCGCCCTTAGTTGCGGCCCCGCCACCCTCACTTGCGGCCCGTCGCCGCCCTCGGTTGCGGCCCCGTCGCCGCCCTCACCTGCGGCCCCGTCGCCGTCCTCACCTGCGGCCCGTCGCCGCCCTCAATTGCAGCCCCGCCGCCCTCTCTTGCGGCCCCGCCGCCGCCCTCAGCTGCGGCCCCGCCGCCGCCCTCAGCTGCGGCCCCGTCGCCGCTCTCACCTGCGGCCCGTCGCCGCCCTCAGCCGCGCCCCCGTCGCCGCCCTCACCTGCGGCCCGTCGCCGCTCTCCCCTGCGGCCCCAACGCCGCCCTCAGCTGCGGCCCCGTCGCCGCCCTCACCTGCGGCCTCGCCGCCCTCATTTGCGGCCCCGCCGCCTTCACCTGCGGCCCCGCTGCCCTCAGTTGCGGCCCCACCGCCCTCACCTGCGGCCCCGCCGCCCTCAGTTGCGGCCCCGCCGCCTTCACCTGCGGCCCCGCCGCCCTCAGTTGCGGCCCCGCCGCCCTCAACTGCGGCCCCGCCGCCCTCAGTTGCGGCCTCGCCGCCCTCACCTGCGGCCCCGCCGCCCTCAGTTGCGGCCCCGCCGCCCTCACCTGCGGCCCCGCCGCCCTCACCTGCGGCCCGCCGCTCTCACTTGCGGCCCCGCCGCCTTCAATAGCGGCCCCGCCACCTTCAACTCTGCAGCGCCGCCCGCTGCCCGAGCCGCCCCTGCCAGCCGAGCCGCCGACCGCCGCGCCGCCCTGCAACAGCACAACCGAGCCGCCCAGCAGCAGAGCAGCCGAGC